GCAACCGTACGTATGTACGCATTTTTTTGCAAAAAGAAAAAAGAAAAACGTTACAAAAAATCAAATATCTTTTTACATACATGAAATTCTGCATAGATTGCACACATTGCATTTGAACGTTTTAAACGAGAACACCTTTGTTTTCTGAGTCTATTAAAAAAATAGTGTACTTTCAGATTAACTTATTATTTCGTAACTCTCGAAACAAGCCATATAAACATAGTAACTTGCTTTACGTCTGTTCATTTTAAAAGAGTACATATAATTAGAGATTTTCTTTATACCATTACTTCTTTTTTATAAGAAATAGACTCGCAGAAATCCTCGGCCAGCCAAAGACTTTTTTTTATACTCTAAGAGTCCGTTGAGAATAGAAGAAAAAATACACATCGAGTTGAACTATTATCTCGTATTTTCCACTTCTAGTAGCTCGTTTCGTTAATAAGAGCGCGCGAGTTTCTGTAGCTCGAAAACGAGCGAGGCACGAAAGAAACGAAAGAGGATGTAAACGCCAGGTACGCGAGGCGGGCGCAGTAATTACGTAACATCACACGCGTAGACTCTCTCTATCTCTTTCTCTCTATTAAAATTTATAGTCCTCGCCGTAACTCGTTCGAGTAGCTAATCGCCGACCGAATCCTTCCGGTCGATAGTAGTCGCTCCGGCTCCCCGTCGTGTTTCCCGCCGATGCAGGTAGCTGTACCAGGGCCTCCTCGGCAGGTGATTACTTTTCACCGTTACCACGCCGTTTCTCTCGTAACCGGCGATGCATTTCCCCCGCGCGACGCGTGCAATTACTTATCCCACCGTTAGCGCCGCGTTAGGTACCGCGTCGTTGATGCGCGTTAGAGTCGCTCGGAGACGGTCGGATCCGAGGCCCGACGAAGAGCGGCGAAGGCGAAGGATCGACGGAAGGAAAGAGGGATGAAAGCTCGTAAACGCAGAGACGGGAGGTGAGGGCGAGGCGAGGAGGGGAGGAGGGAAGCAGAGAGTCGAAGAGCCGGGAGCTGCTGGTCTGAAGGACGAAAGGATGGGGCCCTGTCGAAAGAAATGGAGAAAGAACGATGGTGGCGAGGAGAGGCGAGCCGAAGGGACGGCAGTAGGGGTAAACGAGGTATGGAACGGCGGCTTCAAGGCTCGATTATGTGATATAAAGTTGCTAGAGTGAGGGGTGACGAAGGAGGTCGGAGAGGGATGCACCCTCGTTGATTGAGCCGCCACCTCCAACGTGCCGTGAACACATGTGCTGGTGGCAACGCTCTGATTGGAAGCCAGATGGGCTCTTCAGCCTCTTACCTCCAAGCACAAACTCTCACCTTCTCTTCCTCCTCTTTCTTCTCCTCCGCCTCCTCCTTTCTTCTCGGCTTCCATCTTCAGTGTCTCCTTCTTCGATATCCGAAACTCACAGTCAACCCCGCGCGCAAAGTACCGCAGTAGATGACTATCCCACGTCGGTTACCAGTGTTTCATCTGGATAGATGTCTGCGATTGCCACGGCTGGGCTTAGGGCAAATCGGATTTATCCGCGGGAGGAGAGTATACCGCTCGGAGTTTATTCGCCGGGCCTTAGTACTAATGCGACGAATGCCGATATCCATCTGGATTTATTTTGATTAGATGTATTAGCGTTTGTGACTTTATATTTTATATTGGTTTCATTCAATGAAATACTCCCCAGAGCAGATCCAGATCGTACAATCGTCGAAAGTTTTCTAATGACCCCATCAAAAAGTTCGCGATGGCTTTCGCGAAATGGTGCCATGCTTTATTCAGGCTTTCACTTCCTTTTCTATTGCGTACCCGAAGTTGCGGCTACAACATCCGTTCTAACGTGCCAAGAGCTATTCAAAAAATCATTGAGAGAAGCCTACCGCTTTGCGTTAACGGGGTCGTTTAAAGTTTGCAATACCACTTGGCCATTCTCACCTGATATGTCGCGATGGAATACATATTAATCGAGTCGTGGAAAACTTTTCGAAAGTTGTAAAAGTGCGAAGCTTATTTTTTTTTGAATAATCAAAAATATTTATAGGCTGATAAATATTTGCGGCTTTCCAAATGTTTTGTAAAAACATTCTATTGTATAATAAACATTTATAATACTCCTTACCACACAAAATATACTGAGGCACAAGAATCGATACAGAATTCATGGCGTGGACAATTTTGACAGTGACAAACGAAAGTAAGAGGCTTCCCAACCGGGATCAACAAAGACTTATTCGCAGCAATTAACCGTTTTCGCGCGGTAATTGCTCTAGTTTATTTAACTTCGTAGCTCGAGGATATCATTTGTGCTCGACATGCGAAGCCTATTATATGACGAAAGTCTTTTATTCCGTGACGGTAAGAAATCCTAGTTAGAGCGAGTCGAGCCGGTCGTATTCTTCAAATCAGCGGGTGGCGTCGCGTTCTGTCTAATGCAGTGACATCATTAACGGGACACAGTTATATCGTCGTAACAAAAACTCGCCGCGATTATATCGTCGCGACAGCCGTAGCTGCAATTACAGTCGCAACAGCGGTCTATTAATATTACATATATTCGTAATTCAGATACGAGATTTTTTTTTCTCTCGACTTGAGCTCCTCATCCATTATCGATCTCCGATCCGGGGGTTAGCACTGAACGTCGCGGAAGAAAACGCGACGTTCCTTGCGTGCATTGTGGCGGTTTACGAGTGGACGTAAGCGGGCTTGTTAGGACGAGTGGGCGGATGGCACGAAGATTTTCACCGAGGGGGTTTGTAGTCAGGACACAAGGGACAGTTCACCGGCAGTAGCCGCCGGCGGTCCCCAGAGGTGGCGACCCTGTTGCAGGCCGAACCTAGCCTGCGGTCGCTGGCTTGTTAGATCCAGTTTGGGGTCGCGGGGCATCGGGGCTGAAGAGGGACATGGGGGACTAGGGGGGGGGGATGAGAGGAGGCTGGGGGTGGAGGGCGCTACTCTTCAGTAGACCGCAATCGGGTATGCAATTTACGTGGTGTCCGACCTCTGCGATCCGAGCCACCATCCCTCCCTCGTCTTCTCGAATCGGTGCTTCCCAACCCGCCTCCACCGCCTCCCTACCCCAACCCCCTGTCCTTTCCGTCCCACGCATTTCGAGGATTCGCACTCGTAGGCCAAAACGAAGGGGTTGGATGCGATGCTGCCGGCTCTCTGCATTCGATACGCAACAGTGAAAACGTCGCACACGTATAGTAAATCCTGACTATAGCACTGGTTGACGAGAGAGAGAGAGAGAGAGAGAGAGAGAGAGAGAGAGAGAGAGAGAGAGAGAGAGAGAAAAGGAGAGATAGAGAAAGAGAGACTGGGGAACATGGGCTGAATGAAGCGGAAGAACGAAAAGCTGTAGCTGTCGTGAGCAGAAGTTTCTACGTTGCTTAGGTGGGAGGTGGTTTCTTTTCTCGTTGCAAAAGGTAGCCGCGATTTCACCTGGCCGGGGGTCTCTATAGCCGGTAACGCGCAGGAAATTGGTAACAGAACGACTGCTTGAACACGTGAACTAACAATCTGTCGACGTCAAAAAATGTTTCCGCCGCTACTTCCATCGCTCCGTCAAAGATTCTACGCGTGTAACGTCAGGCGGATAGAAACCACTACGCGGAACGTTCGTAATAAATAAATGTTCGATTTCTTTTCGAATTTCTTTCATCCTTCGACGATGTCGTTTATTTTCGCGTAGGAAAAGTATAAATAGTAAGTTGAAGATAAAGAGCTCGTCTTATCCATTTTGCATTAGGGGTGAATGTAATCATCTCGAGCGTAGAGCAGTTTACATGCTTTACATCTATCCGTTCGAGCAGGCCCATGTGCTAAAATCTCAGGCTGTTCGACGCGTACCAATGCAAATGTCAGGTCGAACGGCATTATCCGGCGTAACGTGCATGTTAATCAGACGGGGCTACGTCGGGCACCAGCACCGGTGGCATAATTCGCTCAATTTACAAGCATTATCGCGCTCGTTGCATTTAATCGCTGAAAATTAGGTTACGCCACCGAGCTGACGTGACCAGCGCTGCCGGCTTTTGTTGTATTAAAACTTTTTTCACGCTTTTAAGCACCGAGCTTGTAAAAAAAAATGGGAAAAAAAAATCGAAATCGCGCTGATTTAAAAAGCGTTATAAAAGCGTTTTCAGTTTGCGAGATTATAACGATACTCGTGACACCGCGACGCTTCTGTTTTATTACGATGATGGAAAGCGCTGATCTTGCGTGTGCCCGACGCATCTATATATTTATAACCTCTCTCCCCCTTCCTTCTGAAATATTATTACACAAATAGAGTAATACGCCACGTGAAATGCGTAGGTAATCCGAGTAGTCTTCTGTTAACATTTCCAAGCGTCGTTACGATCGTCGGCAACACTCAACCAGACAGACATCTACTTTCACCTCTATGAAATTTATGTATGGAAATATTCGTATGTGCATAACGCGACG